TATAATACTGTCATGGAGCCACTTAAAAAATACATGGTTTTGAAATCTGAAGAAACAGGCCTAAAAATATAGAAATAATGCTCATCTCTTGGGGTCTAGCCCTACATGAAGAACTGTTTCTGTTACTGAAATTCCTTAAGAAATAAGTACAACCCCATGCCTCTGGTGGTACAGAACGTCAAGTGGTATAAAATACCAAATGCTATCAAAATATCACTTTAAATAGCTACACTATTTATAAGAGCCCAAAGAGGGCTCTACCTAAGTGCTTTTCAGGTACAATGTCTGATTCAGCTACTAGGCCTGCATTCATTTGTTCGTTTAGCGACATAATGGGAGCCTCTGTAGGCCAGATACTATTCCAGGCTCTGCAGAACTGGTGGCAAACAAGCAAACCAAAATCCCCCTGCCTTTGTGGAAACAGTAAGACACTGCTGATGGAGAAAAAAAAAAATCCCCGATAGTAAGTAGTAGACTCCAGTGATCATGGAACTTTTAAAAAAATTATTCTAATTCTTTATAGTCACTGTATCTTGTAAAAATTCATAGTAAATGTTTATGATAGCCATGTAGGCCTAAGTGAAAGAAATTGACAGGCTTTAAAAGAACTTAATGTCTTAAAATGATGGACTGAAATATCCTAATAACAAAAACCTTTGCTTATCAATATTATGAAAATACAATTAGATTTTGCTAAATAATTTCCTTCTCTCAAAGGACTTTGATGGTATTAGCTGATCCAATATAGCCATTACATGGCCTTTATTTGCTGATGCCATGGTTACATAGAAGCATAGCTCTATAGGACACAGACATTATAAAATGAAAGAAAAACTTTCATTTTTATGAAGACATTACTTTGATTTACAGTGTTTTCTCATTTGGAACTTTGCTGCTCTTTTTTTTTTTCAGTCTTCTTGTGCTTCTTCGTCCTTTGTTCTTGTACTCTTGGATTTTCAGTTTCTCTATTTAAAAGATTTAAAGTCTACGAACTTACCTCAGAGTAAAATCTTGGCTGAAGCACATCAGCAATCTTCTGTTTAAACATTTTGTAATTGTTTGCATTTTTCCTTCTTGGCCCCACAGCTATGCAGCTGGGTACTTTCTTATTCTAAGTAGTTGGAATACTTGTTATTCATCTGGGATGTGGTCAGAAAATATTAAATACCTTTTAATACTCTTTCTGTGGGGAATTTACTGTTATTTTTCATTGTACCTTAGTATATGATCAATTTTTCAAATTGTATGTACTGTAAAAGACAATATACTCTATGGGAAAAAGCTTAAAATATATTTCTATTGACTCAACCCTATTACTTACTATTGTCTGTTAATTGCAAGTAGAGTGACAAAGACTTCTACAACTGCTCTATCCATATTTTCGATATTATGTTTTGTTTATATTTTAATACTATACATTTAGAACATAAAGAATTTAACTGTCATATCTTCACTGTGATTTTGTTAATACTGACTGCATACCTTTTTCCCTTGTCTTTTGTTGGATATGAATTCTGCTGTATTTGTTTTCTTTATAGTTATTTTTTCCTAACTTTTATTTGTTCATTTAAAAATTTTAACTTCTCTAGGCCAACTTATTTCAAGGTCCTTCCCTCATAAACAGCTTTTAATCAGATTTAGCCCAATCTGATTTTTCTCTTTAACTAGGAAATTTACCCTATTACATTTATTGTTGTAATTATGTTTGGCCTTACTTTTTCCTATTTTCCTTTCCTTGCTCTTTAAATTTTTCTTTCCATTTTTCTTTGCATGGGCTGTTTCTTAGTTAACTTTGCACCTATGGATCTAGCTCAGTGCCTGTCCCACAAGTACCCACTAAATGTTTGTGGAATGAATAGATTAGGTATAGCAGAGGTAGTTTATGCAATGATGTGGAAGACACATATGCTGCTTTTAATTTGTGGTTAGCTTAATTCTCAAGGCATTTAAAAACCAATACTAAACTTTCAAGATCAGCAGAATAATAAAGCTATACTCCTCTTTACTGAAGATGAAGAGTTTGGCACTTCTGAACTCTTGGTGAATCTACTACTCCAGACTTTCAATTTAAATCAGATTTATCACCACCATTTTATTTTTACAATATGGAACATTTGTTTCACATAAAGAGTATATTTAAGACAATTATTTAGATGTATATCTTTTTATTTAGCTTGTTTCCATTCTTACTTCCATCCTGTCCAGCTATGATTTCCTTATTCTTGCTCTTATTTTATTTCTCATCTTCCTAAATCTTTGCCCATGTATGAATAATTTTCTATTTCTTTCCAAACTAGATGGCCTGGGGAACACATCACAGTCTCCAAAATTCACCTCTCTCTATGGAAATTCTGACCTGGCAGCTTTGGGGTCATGCTCCTCACTGCTCAGCCAAGCACTCTGTAAAGGTAATGATGCTGTCTGCCAAGCTGGCCAACACCATCCGTTTGCATCCCAAGGTGTACGTGGAACAGGCTACCATCTGAGAACTAGGATTTGGAACTTAGTATCATTGAGCAGGCTGAGACGGTTTTGTTTCTGCATGGGTGACCTGACTTTCTGTTCTGAGGGAGCCAACCCAGCCTGGGCCAGGGCCATCTCTGTGGCTAATGCTGTATGGCTGGGATCGGCAGCCCCTCCCAAGACCCATGCAGTGAGGAGGAGTACTCTAAACAAATGGCAGGGCTGTTACTAGAAGACGGGGGCAGTGAACACAAGCGGCACACAAGTCTACCCCAGGCAAGCTGAGAGAGGGGTTTCTCTAAAGCGAATGTGAACCTTCTAAGGGATGTCTTAAGGTTCTCACTGAGAGTTTCTAGATCGTGTGACTTAAACGTAAAGAACTGAACTGAGGCAGCTTTCTTGATCTCGTGCCTCATGTCTTTTTCTAATGTATACAGGTCTGTTCACTTAGCTTGGGTAATACCTGTCAGTTGTTTAGAACATGGATGTTATATTTTTTCCTAAAGGAATTGGGTAGTATGAACTACAGAAGATTATATCCAGTCCTACCGCCATGTTGTCACTGGGAGCAGATTTATTATTTTGCTGGGGCTGGATTACTGGGGGATTCTCAACTTGGCATTCATTTAACATCTGAGTGTCTTATCATAATTTTCTTATTTTCACAATATGGAATATTTGTTTCATGTAAAAAATGTATTTAAGACAACCATTTAGTTGTATATGTACAAAGTGTGCCAAAGGCTGAGTTTAGTATTGACTGGAAACCATTCATTTTGGAAGAGACGCAGGTATTTAGGTGGGGATTATAGGGTGACTGGAGGGAAATGCCTCAAATGTAGGTGCTCAACACACAGATTATCCCCATAGTCGCCCTCATGCTCACTATCTCAAAAACAGAGTTCAAGAAAATAAAATTAAAATAGCTAAGAGAAAATTCTTATAATACTGTGGGGAAGTTGGGGTTCCTATGGCCAGGATCCTCACTGAACCTAAACCACCTGATGATGTAACTGGCCTGTTGCCAGGCTGCCACTTCCACACCTTTAGGCAATACGCTGTTATTGTGCTATATAGAGAGCTCAGCCCAGTGCTCTGGATGGAGACACAGACACTAGTGCTCGACCTTCCGCCAGGAGAACAAGCCGGGTAATAAACCCTTTCACCCCAAAGAACGTTTTGCTGTCAATTTCTTTGGTTAAATTGAATCCATAGTGAACTTGCCTGGGGCTGAAACCCATTAACAGGACAAATACCAAATGAAAAGAAAGAAAAATGGTATTAAAAAGATACCAATGGCAATAGCACTTAAGTGACTTAAAATAATATCAACTAAAACAATAAATTCAGTTAACAAAAATTGTCCAAATAGAACCCACTGTAGGCCAAGGTGTGGCTGGCATTTTCCGCTCTGCCGGGCTCGCCAGGGGGCTGCAGGATGTCCCACAAGGAGCCATGGGTGGAGAGCAAGGCCCAAGCCACCCCAAACACCCCAGGCCACAAGCCTACTGGATGCCCTAAGTCTTCTCCAGACCTTTGCTGACAAATGCATCCTTTCCCATCCTGTAATATACAGGTGTTCCTATTTTTGACCAAGAACATGGCTTTATTTTTATCCAAACAAATGCTGTGGTTCTTTATTTTGGTCCGCTGCTATCCAGAGTCTGTGATAAAGTGCTTTAGCTTTACGTCTAAATGTCTGGCAATCTAAAAATGTTACTGTATTCTCCAAATATCTGATAAAAGGACACAACTTTTTAAACTGTAGTTTTAAAGTAAAATATACATTTGTAATCATAAAAAAATGTCCATTTTGTCAGTGCTGATAGAGAAAGGAAAACACTATATGATCCTATTTCTCTGCTTTGTAGGGGGATGAGTCTCCCTGAAAGAACTGGTAAGAAGAAACTCTTCTGGAATCTGTAAGCAGGGAGGCAGGCCCAATGGCACCACCACTGCAGGTAGGGCGGGGGATGCGGGCTTCTGCCAAGCGTTCCCCAAGCTGCGCAGGCCCATTTCACGACTACAGAGAGGTGAAGGGCAGAAGAGGGAGAGTAAGAAACAAAGGATGCTGCCGAGGTCCACAAGAAGGCTTCCTCCTGCCAGAGCTTTTTGTTGCTGCTAATGTTTTCCTTTTTATCTCCATAAAATATAAAGAACATGGAAAAATATTTGCTTTGCAACATCATGGCAGAAAAAATACAACTGTAGCAAGAGCTTGGCAATCTTGTAACCAAAGAGGCTCATGCTCTCTCCATCAGGAGGAGAATATCTTGCCTCACCATCCTCTGGAAGAAAAGTGAGTGTCCATCAGTACACCTTGTTGAGACTAGAGGGGAGAATGGGGAAAATATTCCAGAAGTTTCATCAGTATACAACCATTGAGCCATAAAGAATTAAACTAAATACAGTGAGGTTGAAAAATCAGCATACCTAAACATTTCACTTTTATTCAGATTTAATTAACAAGTTAACAATCTATTAGTCTGTGACAAAATTCTTCTGACTAATGAGAAAAAAAGGACATACAACCTGGAAACAATCTGATTTTGCTTTATTGAATACTTTCCCACACCCAGTATTTACAGATACAATTAAATGGAATTTATAAGACTTCCATGTGGAACATTTTAAAAAGTTAACCTGAGACATTCTTAATGGAAATCATTAATTTATATGTGTTAATACAATAACTAATTTATAATTTTTCACCCAATATCCAAGATGGTTCAGTTCATAAAAGTTCTTTTAAAGAAGAAGTCTGAAGAAATACAAAAAATTCAGAAAAATATTTCATCTAGTCATATAATCTTCCAATTTTTCTGTAAAAGAAATTAGTAACAATTATAGATATTCTGGCCACTGTGAATTAAATACAGGTTTCTCAATTGCATGACTACTTTCTTTAATGCCACATTTAACTTTAAGCATAGAAATGCTATTCTTCTTTACCACGTTTTCATAATAGGTTTAAACAGGTTTTTATGTTAAAAAAATACATGTCCAAATTTAAAACTGGCACCTAAATAAAGACTTCAAAAATAGCAATAAGACATATGGTCACATGTTATTACTTTGACTCTCTGTTATGGATGGTCCATGGAAGGAACAAACTGGACAAATAGCACAAAGGAGTACTGTGATCAGTCCTACATGTGACTTACTGTAGAAGCCAGTTGCTTTCACTGACATTAAGAGGACATCAGAAATACAGCATCTACATCTGCATGTCTGACAGAATACTGGGGATTAACTTGTATCTGTAACAATATTCTCAGCATAGAACTACAAAAAAATGTGGGGATCATAGTAGTAGATGGGGGACATTATTTTCTCTATCTGCACAAATTAAAAGGTATTTTTCTGGTTTTAGCTGAGTTAGCTTTACCACCCATACACATAATTCAGGGATTATAACATTTATCTTTAAAAAGTATGGGCTGTTTTCACACAGAGCTTATCCTCCCTTTTTCTTTAAAAGCCTGTGATTCTTTAAAATGTATTATTCATTTATTTTTTTTGGACAACACAGATATTAAAATGTAAACTATTTAATCCTATCTATGCATTTCAAAAATGCCAAATAAAATATAAGTGTGTGTCAGTGATAGCAACTTCTATACATTACATGCAGAAAACTTAATAGTATTTAACAGTATTCATATTTGCTAGACAAATGCTACTGAAAGGGTAGAAAGCATGACTTAGAAAATTATAATAAATAAATATCACTTATCCACAATTTTAAAACATTCACTTGCCAAAAAGGTTCTGAAATGGTGGTGCTGCTACATTTTTATTTTAAGTAAAAATTTTCCTTATATACAATATAAGTTTCCTGTTCAACAAAACTTTTTGATAATATAAAGGTAAATCTCAGAATATTATGGATCATCATCTAGTTTAAATCACTGGAGCCCAAATTAATGTTGCTTGAAGGGCCATTTAAATGTAAATATACTACTATACACTTGAAATTTTTTCTGAAATGCATATTTCTGTTCTAGAATTTGCTATTTACCAAAATATAACACACTGATGATTGTTTCTCCTGCTTAACAGTACATTAATGTCAGGGACATAGCCTTCTTGTTTCAAAATATAAGGCAAACTTACTATGTGGTCAATAGTTGATCATTTTTCGAAGGGCATCATAGCATTTCCATTTGTCTGGGATGTAGAATGGCTCAAAAATGTGAGGAAATGGTGTGTCATACCCACATACTCTCGATATAGGAGCCTCTAGGTTCAGGAAACATTCTTCCTGCAGGGAAGAAAACAGATGGTTAACTCCAAGAATATTTCTTTTTATTCACAGAGATGAAACATTTCAATGTAAAATACAGTTGTATGAGAGGGCATTAAAATAATTAAGTATAACTCAGAATAGCCAAAGTAACCCTAAGAAGGAAGAACACAGTTGGAGGGGCTATGCTCCCAGACTTCAAGCTCTACTATGATGCCACAGTAATCAAAACAATTTGGTACTGGCACAAAAACAGACCCAAATATCAATACAACAGAATAGAGAGCCCAGATATAAACACACACATATATTACCAATTAATGTATGATAAAGGAGCCATGCATATACAATGGAGAAATGACAGCCTCTTCAACAACTGTTGTAGGCAAAACTGGATGGCTACATGTAAGAGAATGAAAATGGACATTGTCTAGCTCCATATACAAAAGTAAACTCAAAATGGACCAAAGACCTGAATGTAAGTCATGAAATCATAAAACTCATCTAAGAAAACATAGGCAAATATCTATTGAATATAAACACGAACAACTTTTTCCTGAACACATCTCCTTGGGCAAGGGAAACAAAAGCAAAAATGAGCAAATGGGACTACATCATGCTAAAAAGCGTCTGTACAGCAAAGGACACCATCAGCAGAACAAAAAGGCATCCTACAGGATGGGAGAATATATTCATAAACAACTTATCTGATAAGGGATTGACATCCAAAATATACAAAGAGCTCACATACCTCAACACCTAAAAAACAAATAACCTGATTAAAAAATCGGTGGAGGATCTGAACAGGCACTTCTCCAAAGAAGAAATTCAGATGGCCAACAGGCACATGAAAAGATGCTCTACATCGCTAATCAACAGGGAAATGCAAATTAAAACCACAATGAGATATCACCTCACACCAGTTAGGACGGCCAACATAGAAAAGACTAGGAACAACAAATGCTGCTGAGGATGCAGAGAAAGAGGAACCCTCCTACACTGTTGGTGGGAATGTAAATTAGTTCAACCATTGTGGAAAGCAACATGGAGGTTCCTCAGAAAACTAAAATTAGAAATGCCATTTGACCTAGTAATTCCACTCCTAGGAATTTACCTGAAGAAAAGAAGATCCCTGATTCAAAAAGATGTATGCACCCCTATGTTTATCACAGCACTATTTACAACAGCCAAGACATGGAAGCAACCTAAGTGTCCATCAGTAGATGAACGGATAAAGAAGATGTGGTACATATACACAATGGATTATTATTCAGACATAAAAAGGAAACAAATCCTACCATTTGCAACAATATGGATGGAGCTAGAGGGTATTATGTTCAGTGAAATAAGCCAGGTGGAGAAAGACAAGTACCAAATGATTTCACTCATTTGTAGATTATAACAACAAAGCTGAAAGAATAAAGCAGCAGCAGACTCACAGACTCTAAGAAGGGACTTGGGGTTACCAAAGGGGAGGGTTTGGGAAGGTTGGGTGGGAAAGGAGGGAGAAGGGAATTAAGGGGTAATATAATTAGCACACACAACATAGGTAGGTCACGGGGAAGGCAGTATTGCACAGAAAAGACAAGTAGTGACTCTATAGCATATTACTACACTGATGGACAGTGACTGCAATCTGGTGTTGGGGGGACTTGATAATATGGGTGAATGTAGTAACCACAATGTTGCTCATATGAAACCTTCATAAGATTGTATATCAATGATGCCTTAATTTAAAAAAATTAAGTATATTGTAATATGAAAAAAACAGCTTAAAAAAGCAGGCAACAAATAATATATTTGGCATGATCCCAGTTTTACTTAAAAATATGTTTCCCTATATACTTATTTTATACCTACATATATTTCTGTTGTTTAAGCCAAACTGGGATTATATATGCTGTTATACAAATATAAATGTGTGGCACGACAGAAGCATAGCAAATGTTCACAGTAAACTCTGCACCCTGAAAGTAGTGATAGTATGTGTTTTCTCTTGTTTCCTACTTTTTTCAAATTTAATGTAAAGTGAATATGTATTACTTATTTATTTATTTATTATTAGGCTGAACATGTATTACTTTCATAATAAATGTTTGTAATTACACAGCCAAACTGTACTTTTACCAGTTACTTGACTGTGCCCTGGCCTCTCTCCTGACAAGACTTTTATAGATGTTGTCAGTACCCAGGCCACTCACCCCCATGCCCTCACCCCAGTGCTCTTTGCCAGACTGACGTGTACACATCTCTCAGTAACCACTTTGGGAGTCATTTCTGCCAGGAAGCCTTCCTTGACTGCACCTCCAACCCTGCAGCACCAGCTACAGAGGTGTTTCTGCCCTGAGGTCTCACAGCACTGAATTCAGCATGACACATTGTAATTGCCCAGTATCTATCGCTCCTGTGACTATGAACTTCATGAGTACCATCTCAACTACAGGAGCCCTGTAGGGAATTATCTTCAGGGGAAAAAAAAATACATATATGATTTATTCAGGTGACAAATTTAAATTTCAAAATAAATTTAGAGTTCTATAAAGAGACATAGGCGATTAAGCTATTCCTGGGAAAATAATTTTACCATTCACAGCTATTACCTGAAACGAAACCAAATCTTGGGGTTTTTTTATACACCACTTTCTTTATTGTTTTGCCTCACAAAGAATTGAGAAGGTCCATTTTCTTACATATTTTACTAACTGTATTTTTAAATTTCTACTTGAGCATACATTTTTACATGAAGAGATTCTGATACCTCACACTCATCCCCTATCCTCTGTGCATATTTCTTCAAGTATATTGGGACAGAAAGGGCCTGGAAACAGGACAAATTACAAAGAGAACCACCTGGCAAATTCCAGACCTCCTTCTGTCCCGTTAACCAATGTCACTTACAAACCAAAAAGTAAGTGTATTTTCTGAAAAACAGGAAATGTTCACTGACAAGCTGAGAACCTTGCATACATAAGGTTAAAAAAAAATCACACCTAAAAAATACCACTACTAATAAGCTCAAAAGACATGATAGATTGCTCCTCGATTGCCACAAAAACCTTTAAAAGGATTTAAATTGTCAATTTGGGATTAACTTGGTTTTATTACTTTATAAGGTTGTTTTTCCTTCTTTCCTGAATACTGTACTTTTCATAAACAAACTAACCATGGTGCTATAAAACAGAGAAAATTAAGGGCAAAATATGTCACTAAATGCCTGTGATTTTTATACCTGTTGTAAAATATTTTTCTTTTTTTCTAGTATGCTGGAAAGCTGGCCTACAACAAAATGATCTGTCAATGTTCCTGAAAACCACTCATTTTAGCATAACTAATTAACATCAAACTAAATTTTTTTTTCAAATAGCAATATTCCTAATTCCTCAAGAATGTGATAATTACTCTTTACAGGAAAACATCTGTATGTTGGCACTGGCATAAGATGAAGGTCTGCAAGGTCACAGTGAACTACAGACAGTGGTGGCCCTTCAGGTCTGGGAGGGACAAGGAGGTGAGAAAGGACTCCACTTGGCACTGTATAGGTATCCTTTGGGTTTCTGTTACTTCTGTAATTAAATGACAATGAAATAAAGCAAAAAAGTGAAGAATCACCTTCTTATGCGAATAAAAGTTTCCATTTTGTGTTACATAGGTTTGTGATTTCACATGTTGCCTTTCTTTAATTTGGAAATAATTACTGTGCATTATGAGGAATTAAATTATTATAGACTACTATATATAAATATATAAAATGTAAGCACCATGGAAGATAACTTAAGGATATATAACAAAAGACTAAAATTCAATTTTACAAAGATATACACTGACCAATTGAAACAGTTTGAAATATTAATGCTTTGTTAACTAAAGTATTATTAAAGAGACAACGTATTCATTCCATGGACTTATGTTAAAACTTCTTTTAAAGAAATTGGAACTATGATATTTGGGTCAAGCAGCTGTGCAGATTTATTTCACACTGAACTGGTTCACATACAAATAATTTATGTGTGACTCTATATTTCTTTGGGCAACTATCACAACAGGACATCCTTGTTCAACCTGTTTTTTTCTCATACAGAAGCTATATATATATATATACACACGTATGCTCATAAAAAAAATATCTAAATCTCATTGGCAGATCTGTAGATCAATGTACCATACCAATCCTTCACAAAATATGTCTGTCATTTATATACCACATTATAATACCATAACTATAGCAACCATGCACCCTGAATTTTCAAGACAGTCCAGATTAATCATATTCTTTTTTTCCATTGGCCGTATAGGTATACTCATATTTTTAAGACTGTGTTTGATGATTTTTGATTCAGAAATAGTAATGCAGATAAAATTAGAAAGAAAAAATTACCTAACTGAGGGTTGTTGTGAGAATTACAGGTCATGTCCAGTACAGGTGCTAAGATGGGAAGTGTCCGTTGCTAGTCTCTCTTCATGGGGAGCTTATATGGGGACTGGCTCAGTCCACATGGAAAATGACAGACAGGACTGTAAAGTTCCCAAGGAGATCATAGTATGACACGTAACCAGCGCAGCAGAAGAGAGTCAGACAGGTGTTAAGAGAAATTTTCTCCAACGATTCATGGTTCAAAGTTTCCCCTGGAACCAGTGAAAAGGACTGAAATTTTGAACCCCAAACCAATTATATAGTAAAACCTATATACATCGTGGTATGTGTTTCACATAAATAATCAGGTGCTTAAAGAAAAAAAAAAATCCTTTCCAGAAGACCCTTGCATAAATTCTAATACACAGTATCTGAAATTTACATCTGAATATGTTTTGGTAATTATGAGAATTTTCTTTCTAAAATACATTAATAATAACAACAGTAAACAGTACTTCTGTAGCAGGCATGGTGCTAAAAGAATTATATGTTATCTCGTTTAATCATTTGAACAAACATATGCGGTGGGTGTTACACGCTGCCTCGGACAGGAAGCCCAGGTGAGGGAGCGGCCCAAGGCTGCGGCTGCGGAAGAGGCGCACCGGCG